CATCCACAGACCTAAAATCATCTGGACAGTGCTGTTGGAGGGTTGGTAAAACAGTCCCCAATTGTTTCAGCTGTTGTAATTCTAAGGTGTAGACTATAAAATATTTTAAAAATCAAATCTTAAAAATGTATAAATAGTAAAAATGTTTTATTCAAAACAATCATACATGAGCTATCAAGCCAAGAGAAGATATAAAGAAAAATTAAGTGCATATGGCTCAGTGAAAGGTGCCAATTGGAAAAGTCTGGATATTCCATACTTCCAATTATGATATTTTGGAAAAGATGAAACTTTAGACTGAAGTGAAAAGATCAGTGGACACCAGGGGCTGCTGGGGAGAGACAGATAAATTGGCAGAACACAGGTAGCATTTAGAGCACTGAAACTATTTTGTATGGTGTTAAATAGTGGCTACATCTTTGTACATCTACAAAAACCATAGAACACATTGCTCCAGTAGTGATCCTTAATGTGAACTCTGCTGCAGTGATCACAGCTAATGTACACTAAGGACTGTGGCTGGCTGTTAATATGTCAGTGTGTGTCCATTAGTCACATAAGGTGTAGCATCTGGTGGGGATGTTGTTAGTATGGGAAGTGTATGTATATGTGTGGTAGGCAGGAAGTATGTGTGTGTGTGGAGGGGATGGATGGTAGACAGCATATTGACAGCTCTACCTTCCTCTCACTTTTACTGTCAACCTAAAACTGCTTTTCAAAATTAGTCTTTATTAAAAACACAAACACAAAAAATGAAACAAACAGCAGCAGCAGCAACATGAACAACAAAAACCACGCAGCTCTGAAGAATTAAATAGAATATGCAGACATATTTGCAGGAATTACAACCGTTCCCCCCACTTGAGTCAGAATTCCATCCAGAATGATACTCTGTGTAGTGGACGCGTCATTATCACCTTCCTTAAACTACGGCAGTTTTCAGTCTTTGTCTAGAGCAGGGGTTCTCAACCTTCCTTATGCTGTGATCCTTTAATACAGTTCCTCATGTGGTGGTGACCCCCCCCCCAACCATAAAATTATTTTTGTTGCTACTTCATAACTGTAATTTTGCTACTGTTACAAATCATAATGTAAGTATTTGTGTTTTCTGATGGTCTTAGGTGATCCCTGTGAAGGGCTTGTTCAGTTTCTCCAGAGGTTGTGACCACAGGTTGAGAACCACTGGTCTTGGGTGACTTGACACTCTTCATAGCATTTGTCAAGTTTTTCATAGGATGATTTGGATATTGTATCTTCTCATGATCAGATTTGGGTTATATATTTTTGGCAAAAAAGGGAAATTTTCTTTGCCTTTGTCAATACATTGTTTTTGAGAGATGATAGGCCGTTGATGTGTACAGTTTTTGGTTACCCTGGGATTGATTACTTCATAAAGATAGTATGTTTCTCTGTTGTTAAAATTTTCTGACATAATTAGGAAGTTTCTGTAGAATCTACTTTACCACTATAAATATCCTCTTTCTCATATTTTCTCCTACTAACTTTAGAATCCACTGGTCATCTTCTGAATTACTGTTTTTTTGGCCAACTTTCTTTTTCTAAATGCATTCATTAGAATTTTATTCTCTACATATTTATTCAATATTTAATATCTTCATGGCTTTCTGTATATTTGTTTCTATATCTGTGGTTTAGTCCATGTTCAACATTGTTCAGTTGGATCTGAATTTGGCCATGCAGAGCCCCTGTGGTAGTCATCTGTGCCCTGGACTCTTGTTACTTTGTGTTCAACAGGGTATCCCTGATTCATCTTTTAAAATCAGTTATTTCTCTAGGGACGTCTCCTTTATGAGAGAATGGTATTTAGAAACCCAGACCTGAGTATGTTTATTGTTATAGTCAATGCATTTTGTCTAGACCTTCTTAGACACAGCCAGGAAATCTATATTCATCTGTTTCTATATTGCCATGGATCTATACAGGTGTTGAATTTGTGGATTCCTTCAGTCCCAAGCCAGCACCAAATGGCTCTTTGTGGCCCTCTCCATTGCCCTTGCTAGTAACTTAGGATCTTGCTCTTCTTACCAGTAATGCATTTAATACACAACAAGCCATAGAAGGAACTTCAAGTGATTTCAGAATTGTTACCGTATAGTCTTGTTGAGAAAATGGCTGTCTTGTGTACCACATATGTCCCCATAATTACATTTTTTTTTTTTTTTGGTTTTTCGAGACAGGGTTTCTCTGTGTAGCTTTGCGCCTTTCCTGGGACTCACTTGGTAGCCCAGGCTGGCCTCGAACTCATAGAGATCCGCCTGGCTCTGCCTCCCGAGTGCTGGGATTAAAGGTACATTTTTAACCTTATAAAGTGACTTACACTGTTTTTAAGAGGAGAGAAGAGCGGCCAGTGCTCTTCTCTCCTCTGTGTGACTGTGCCAGTCAAATGAAAGCACATTTGGTGTTCTCCACACCTCTCTGTTGGTTTTCTTTGTCATGTTTTGAGTGGATTAAATATTAACTTGATTCTCAAATCCAGAACTGCACAAAAGTTTTGCCTAGAGAATCATCACTGTTTGTGCCTTGCCCATCCTCACATGGGATCCCCACTCACCTGCTTATCCTTTGTTTCTGCCCACCTCCCCCGGCCAGTCATTCTTCAGTGTGGTTTATCCTTCAGTCCTTCCTTTGCAGGTACCTGAAGACTGTCTCTGTGTCCTCCTGCATATTACAGGAAAGCCAGCATTTGCTCCTTTGTACTCGGCTCTTTTTCACTTTTTTTTTTTGTGTGTTGGATATCCTTCCTCGCAGTTAGGGAGGGCTTCTGCATTCTCTTTTGCACTTAAATAGTGCTCACTTAGACTGACCACAGTTTATTCAATTATTTGTCCAGCACAAAACTTTTTTATGTTTAATATTTTGAATTCTCAAAAATGCCAGATATGATGCACAAATATGATGGCTAGCTTTGTCAACTACTTCACTCAGTATAGAATCACCTGGGAAGAGAATCTAAGTGAGGGCTTTTTCAGGGTTAAGTTGGCCTGTGAAGATGTCTGTAGGGCACTGTCTTCTTTACATTAATTAATGTAGGAGGACCCAGCTTAATAGTGTGCAGTATCATTTCTTAGGCTTGAGTCCTGAACTGTATTAATTGTACACAGGTGGGTTATTTTCAGCACTCATGGGAGTCACCTAAGGCCCAGGGTAGCGAGATCTTCTGAAAAGACCTTATGAGCATCTAGAGGAAACCTCAGTCTTGACTTCCTTGGTTTTTGATCACAGTTGGAGCTCCTTTTGCCTAGGAGGTGTGGCACTTGACTGGAGGTTTTGGCTTATGTGTTTTACATTGATTTAGTCCTTGGGGGTGGGGTGGGGTGGGGAAATGAGTCTTTCTGTGATGTTCAGCAGACATTCTGGCTTGCTCAGCTACTGGGCTTGCACTTTTGTCTTGCTCCCTGTGCCAAGTTGTCACTCATACACTCAGCTTTTCCCTAGTGTGCTGGGAAGGCAGGCATTCTTAGTGAGTTTTTCCTGATGTTTTGCTGGTTTTATGCTATTTTGTAGAGTTTTACTTTATAATTCCCATCTACTTTGTTACTTTCTTTGTGCCTTTAGCAAATTTTTTTTATAAAGATTGTTCTAATCATCCAATATAACATTAGTAAAACCGAGAACCCTTTGTTTAATAAAACATTAATTGTTGCCCATGGGGCTCAGGTTTAAACAATGATGGCCATTTGCTCATTTCTTTCTTTCTCTCTCTCTCTCTCTTTTTTTTTTTTTTTTTTTTGAGGCATGGTTTCTTTGTATAGCCCTGGCTGTTCTGAAACTTGCTCTGTAGACCAGGCTGGCCTTGAACTCACAGAGATCCACTTGCCTCTGCCTCCCAAGTGCTGGGATTAAAGGCGTGTGCCACCACCGCCTGGCTTTATTTTTCTTTCTTGACTCATTCTCCCTATAGGTAAAGTTGATCTGCTCTGTCACCATGGCTAGATATGTTCATGTGTGGTGGTGGCTGTATGCCTGTGTCTATACATGCGTGTACACACAGGCCAGGGGCAGATATCAAATGACTTCCTCTGTTGCTCTCCACTTTAGCTTTTGAGACAGGGTCTTTAACTGAATTTGAAGCTCACTGCTTTGGTTAGCCTGGTTGCCCAGTGATCTCTGGCACTGGGAGCACAGGTACGCATGTCACTGTGCCTGGCTTCTCGTGCGGTTGCTAGGTTTGAATTTAGGTCCTCATGGTTATGTGGCAAGCCCTTACTGACTGAGCTGTCTCATCAACCCCGGATATTCTATTTTATTGGACAAGTAGCATATAATTAATGACAGCTGTGGTTAATGATGATACTGAGGAAATTTTGTTTAGTTGTTATACTGTGCCATGCACTCTGTATTTTAATATATTACCTACCATATAAATCTGTGAATTCACATGATCCCATTTTATGTGTCAATGAGCTGAGCCTTAGCTATCAGTTAATTTTCCCCTTTCTGTGTATAGTATGCAATGGAAATATGTGTGAAGCTCTGAAATGGGTTTTAGAAATAGAGTATTAAAACTCCAGCAGGCTTCCTGTCTTCATAGACTTTATAGGATTTAATTCTTAAACTGTACTTTCTTACTTAGTCTTAGATCACATTGGGAAGATCCTTTGGGACACTTAGGGATACTATTTTAGAGTCTAAAGCTTGGCATTTCCATTAAAATTGAGGATAATGTCTCTTGTAAGGAAATGACTGTAAATTCAGGCAAATGTAAAACAGATCAGCAAAGATCTGAGGAGTGTCTTTTAATTTCCCAGGGACCCTCCACACTGGGTAGCTCAGAGCTTGGCTAGTTAGTACAAAGTGCTGTTAATTTTAATGTGCATATTAACTATAAAATTTGACTATTTTTAAATTTTAATTAAAAATTATTTTTTGTAAGATATAATTTTTATACCCAGAATTTTTATGCTATTTGACAGAGGCCAACTAGGACTTTTTTTTGTTTCTGTTTTTAAACATATTTCATTATTCCTTTTGGTTTACAGTTATTTGCTGGCGTAAAGGATGGAGAAAGCTTGCAGCTCTTTGAAGAAAGTTCTCGCTCTGCTCATAAGCAAGAGACACACACCATGGAGGCTGTGAAGCTTGTGGAGTTTGACCTTAAACAAGTACTGACGAGGCTTATGACACATCTTTTTGGAGATGGTAAGTACTCAGATATCTTTTTGTCTCAAGGTTTAATAATTCAAAAGTTACTAACATTGTGCAGTAGGTCATTGAGGCCGTAGCTAAGGTTTTTGTTGTTGATTTGGTTTTTGTCTAAGTTATAGGTGGATGAGAGGGAGCCTGTGGACTTCTTGGTTCTTTCAACTTGAGATATAGAAGATATAGAATGGAATTAGCTAGAGAAGGAACAGTGATGGTGGACTAGCTTGTTATCAGGTTAGCTTGGTTTTGTTTCTGTATTCTAACATCACATGGACAAAATTCTTCACAATGTGGAGTATCCCCTGGTACAATCATAATTTGATGTACTGACTACTACTATCGATAGCAGAAATATTAATGTGAGTTTCTATAGGAAAAATAATATTGTTCAGATTTTGGCTCTCACTATATACTTATCTTCGAATCTTCCTCCAAGGGGGAAAATATTGTTGATGCTTCCTGCAGTGGAAGCCACAGTCCTCATCCCCAGCTGGATCCCAGAGCTCACTGATCTGGGTTGACCTGTATGCTTTCATTCCTCCAGACTCCCATTTACGCATGAACTCCAGTGTGTGTTTAAAATGACTCCTGTTGTAATTTAGTAAGGCTCTGCTACTCTGTTTTAACAAGGTTTATGGGAATATCTTTACTTCCATATCATCAGATGCATAATTCATATAACATTTAAGAAGCCACTAACTAGCCCTCTACATTCTTTATATGGCATACATTATTTAAATTTGCACATTGATGTCAGACTTACGCTTTTCTAGGCAGTAAGGAATAGTAATGGGAGGGTGTGGGAAATTGCCTTCATCTGTGTTAAAGATGTTTTATTTTGTAAAAGTTTGAAGTAAAATATGACAAAATGTTATGATTTGATAAAGTAGAATAATGGGTGCATGGATGGTTGCTATTTTCTATTCCTGTCTCCAGACTTGAAGCATTTCATATTAAATGGTATAATGCGAAACAGATTTCAGTTCAAGATTGTTGATATGAAGATCTTATTATAGCTAGCCTCTCTTTACTTCCACAATAAAGGAATTGTGGTATTTTTAGCAGTAGTACAATCTACTTAACACTGAAATGTAGAGAGATAGATTATATTGTTCAAGCATTGAAGAGGCAGGGTAGGGAAGAAGGGATCCCAGTGTTAAGGAGAAACGTTCTGCCACACAGCATCACACAGCATGCCAGGATTTCATCTGCATTTTTTCCTTTGTCAAATTATGTACAAAAAAAAAAAACTTACGGCCATCCTTATGGGTTTTTTTTTTTTTTTTTACACATATCTGTAAGCAAATAATTGTAATTGCTATTCGTGAGATTTTATGAACTTGATTTTTACTAAGTTGTAGACATAACAGTATGGACTAATCTAGACATAATTCCTGTCTTCAAGGAGTCAAGCATCTTTATCCTCTACCAAGTTAACATTGTCCGTGAGTACTCAGAAGAGGAGCTTCATCCAGGATTGAGCCTGTACTCAGGAGGGCACCTGGTGGAGGATAGCCAACCGAGGATGAGGGAGAATTAGCAGGGAAGGCTCCAGACAACCAAAAAACAGTGGAGAAAAAAGAGAACACATGATAACCAAGTCTGCAGACATAGGTGCAGAACACTGAAAACAATGCCTGGGGCTATGACACAGGGACAGGAGAAAAGAGGAAGGAATGTGGCTGGCAGTAAATGCCATGCCAGCTAAGGATTTCCAAGCAGGTCTCTTCTCTACCTTTTTAACCCTAATTTATTTATCAGTTTCTTTGATATCTTACACTTCAGTTGTCTAACTTTTAGTTTTAAATAATACTTGCTTCACAAATAAAATGAAATATAACATGCAAAATATGCTTTATGTTCTTGATTTTTTTACTCTTTGACTCTTTGGCTCTTTGGGGACCACCACCCAGCTCCCAAATAAATACACACAGAATTTCCCCACCTTGCCTGGGCTTGTCCCATTAGTGCTTTTGACTTCATTTAACCTGTTTCTGCTCATCTGCGTTTTGCCTCGGGGCTTTTATCTTTCTTTATTTCTGTATAACTTTCTTTACTTCTTACTCTGTGGCTGGCTGTATTGGGTGGGTGGCCTCTGGTGTCCTCTCTTCTCCTCCTTCTCTTGCTCCTTGATCCCCTCTTCCCAGATTTTTACTCCTATTTAATCTCTCTGCCTGCCAGCCCCACCTCTCCTTTTTCTTGCTTTCCTATTAGCCATTCAGCTCTTTATTAGACCAATCAGGTGTTTTAGACAGGCAAAGTAACACAGCTTCTCAGAGTTAAACAAATGCAAATAAAAGAATGCAACACATCTTTGCATCATTAAAGAAATATTCCACAGCATAAACAAATGTAACACAGCGTAAAACAATATTCTACAACAACCTTATAAGTTTAAATATTAAATTTAGTGTAAATATGAAAAAAAAACTAAGAAACAGATGTGAAGTTAAGGTACTAAACACAAGACGGCTATGAGGACGGTGGGGCATAGTCAGAGTGATTGACAGGTAGGTTTGTTTTGTCTCGGTGGCAGCTAATGGAATGCGATGCTCCTTCCCCATCACATTGGTGCTCAGCATAACTTTGCATGATCTGCAACAATTTGACATTTATCTTTGTAACACGTCTTTGTTCTGGACTGGTGGCTCAGCATATAAATATGCCCAGGGTCCACCCTAACAACCTGAGCTTTATCCCCACGGCCCACATGGTGGAAGGACAGAGCTGACTTTCAGAAGTTGTCTTCTCATTTCCTCAGTGTACTACGGCAGGCACCTGCTGTCAAAAAATGAATGAATGTCTTGTGCTAAACTCCATGGAGACCAAGGATGTCTATTTCATGGAATCTGGTCTTGAACTTACCTTTGTATTAGTAATTTAATATTTGTATTTGCATGCCTTTCAAAACCACATATTGGAGTGAAATTTATTATTTAAGACTGCTTCTGCAATACATTTGTTGGTTTGTTTGTTTGACTCTGATGCCTGTCTTGACATGAGGCAAAAGCTCATACGTAAGTATAGAATTTTGAGTTTTGAAACAGCAGTGAGGTAGTGTCATTACCAGAATATGTTTGTTTGTTGATTTTTAAAGTCTTATGGACTTGGAATTTTTCAGTTCATATTTTATAACAGATCATTATTACTTTTTTTTTTTTTGAGATACAATCTTGCTGTGTATTTCTGGTTGGCTTGAAACTCACTCTGTAGACCAAGCTATCCTGTAACTTAGAGATCCACCTGCCTCTGCCTCGTGAGTCCTGAAATTAAAGACATGAGCCACTGTGCCTGGCCAGTATTGCTGTTTTTGTGCATCTTCAGAGTCACTTTTGTTTGTAATATCTGCTTCACAAAGGTATAGAATAGAATTAAAGTAAAAAATTAACGTCTTCTTGGAGAATAGTGTTAATGTAAACTGAAGTCTACAGTGAACCTGGAGAGTGTCTTAGTACAGTTGCATCAGTACCATCAAGCTTGAGTGTCATGGAGCTCAGGGAAACAGTCAGAGCAATGACAGCGGCCCCAGAGAGGGTAGCTGCAGTCCATCCTGACACGGAGCACTTGCAGAAGGAATTGTTCCTTCCTGCTGCCAGTTGTAGCCCAAGAATTTGGACTCCTGAACCTAGTTTAGGGGTTAGCTCTTTGAAAGGATAAAAATAAACCATTTCAATAAACCACGTGGTGCAGGTCAGTGATTCCTGAATTTGGGCAGCTGAGGCAGCAGGATCAGTTACCCAGGACCCCATAGGTAAGATACTTTCAGGAAAGGTTAAAGGAGGGAGGGGGTGAGTAAAGGGGAGATATTGGTCATTTTAATATTATTTCTGAGACTGAGACAAATGAAATCTATGATGGAAAAAAAAAAAGTCAGACAGTCTAACTAAAGTGGGAGAAAGCAGCCTTTCTCTCCAGTTTGCCCTGTGGCTTTTTTCTCTCCCTCTTGTCCTGGGCCAGCCTGTCACCAACCCTCTGTTTGCTACATGTTTAGTTACATTTGGGGTATCAAAGGACACATAAAAACTGAAACTTTTTTCTTTCTATATTTAATTAATGGCCACAGTTTGCAGCCTCAGACATATTTCTCAAGACTCTTTTTATATTTATTTATATGGCCGATACCCCTCGCTTATTATTATTGGATTCCTTTGTACTTGAAAGCAAAATTAAAAATTAGAACTCATCCTGCCCTTGTGACAGTTTGTTGTTATTATAGCAACTTTAGGTTCAGCTTTTCTCTGTTTCCAAATATGGTTTATTATTTTCTGCTAACATTTCAATTGTACCAGTACCCTAAGGCTGTTAGAAGAGAGGTTATCATTTTAGAATTAGAAAGAAATAAAATAACGCTTTAGACTACTTTTCTGCTCATGGAATTCATTATTGTTTTCCATATCTCTACTGCTTTCTGTATATTTTGTACCCTGCTTAGTAATCATTTCTTTTATATCATCTAAGATGGGGATTTAGGATTCCTAGAATTTTAATTTCTTTTTGTAGCCTTTGGTGTTTACAGCCTTTTTCCAGAGCAGTGTCTGACACACATTGGTGTTTCCCAGTAGAGCGTTGCTCTCTCTCATGGTGCAGTTTAGATGAATAAGTTAAGAGAGAGAGGGACCATGCTGCTCTTCTCCTGACCTGGTCCCCACAAAGGAGCATGCCTCTCTGTTGCTGGTGGTCTTTGGAACACATCTCCAACCATACCCTTACTGATATACAAGGAGCCTCCAGCCAGCAGCACCTCAGGAGACAACTGTAGATGCCAGGAGCTCCCTTGCCTGAGGACATCCCTTCCCATGTCCAGAGCTTGAGTCTAGCAGGAGTGTCTTCTGTGATGCTATTGTGATAGCCATTGCTACTTCTGTAAATGCAAGGCTTTGTGAGGCTGACAGCAGGTTGTGGTTTTCCTCTTGTGTAGACCTTCCTCCTTACCATGTTGCCCTTCCACAGGTGCTGAGTGACCACAGATAACCTACTTGCCAGTTAGACCTGCATAG